ATCAATCACCAAAAAGGGGGAGATTGTAAGGAAAATGGACCCTTGGCCCATTTACTTTGGATTTTGGTGTTTGATGACCAACACAACCAAATTGGACTAATGAATTTGCAAGTGTTTGTTTTGTAGTCCAATAGGGTGCAAGACGTGACTTGGACGAAGACGACGTGATGATCCGATGATCAACACCTCAAGCAAGACTTTAGAAGCACAAGTGAAGACCCAAGATATCAAGCAAAGTCCAAGCATGAAGATAGGAACCAAGCCATCATAAGATAACGAAGAAACGAAGCTCATGAGAGGCGACCGGACGCCGGACCGGACGGACGTCAAGCGCGATCGACGCTGGACCGGTGGCTCGGCGAGATAGGCGGCCGGACGCAAGGATCGGACGCCGGCGGCAACCGACCCGCACGTAGGAACGCAGCGTCCGATCGAAGTCTGAGAGGTTCAGCGCTGAAATTCTGACCGGACGCGTCCGGTGGCGAAACCGGACGCCGGTAGCGTCCGATCGGTAGTTCAGCGTTTACAGCGGTCGGGGACGACGGACCACGCGTCGGTCAGGGCGATTCAGCGTCCGGTCGATGGCGATTTCTACGGAGTTCGATCTCAACGGCTACTTTCTCAGTGGGGCTTATAAATACAACCCCCAACCGGCCATTTGAGGTGTGTGGAGCGGAGGAAACATATCTAGGGTGTTGATATACCATTTTAGTGATCCCCACTTGCATAGTGCTTAGTGTTTCATCAGGTGATTAGCGTAGGTGCTTTGCGAAGTGCTTAGGTTGATTAGACCACCGCTTATGCGCTTGCTCTAGGTATATGCCTAGTGTTTAGTGAGGTTTGCATACCTCTTACCACCCCGTGCTTGCGAGCACAAGAGTTGTACATCGGGGGGGCTTGAAGTTTTGCGAGATCACACCAACCGCGTTTGTGGTGCGACCGCCACCGTGTACTGAAGGGAACAAGGCCCATGGCGTTTCAACCGAAAGCTTGATAGTGAAGACGGCGGGGAGCATCCGGGAGAGGCTTGCCGGAAGACACGTCGGAGACCCACTTGCGCGTGGGGAAGGCCCGAGGCTATCCACGGAGTTACCCGACCGGGAGCTTGGCCCTTGCGAGGGGCTCCAACGAGGACTAGGGAGAAGCTTGCGCGCTTCTCGATACCTCGGTAAAAATACCGGAGTCATCGACGGGAGTTTGCATATCTCTACCTTGCTCTTTAAGCTTCCGTATTTGCATTGATCATATTATTATCATCTACGGTAGAGATAGCAACACACTAGCAAAACCGTAGTTGCACATTTAGATATATTATCTTTTGCATATGTTTTGCTAGAAGTAGAAAAAGAGGCCATAGTCTAGAGTTAGATTTTTAAGTTGCCTAATTCACCCCCCCTCTTAGGCGTCCACGTGTCCTTCAACAGCAAGGCGTCTTCCTCCTGGTGATTCGTTCGTGGGACTGCACTGCGAACATCGTCTTGCATCGACTGTGGTCCATGACTTCAAGCAACACACTATGTCGACTAGTGCAAATGGAGCATCCGATGCCCTCGGCATGGGACCCTCCGCTGGGTACAATCTAATCTCTGTGATTACTATACTTTGCGCTTTTACTGTATCCATCTGTATGTCATGTCTGTATGCTGTAGCGTTCATTAGAGATATACGCATGCACATATATGCCGTCACGAACCTGCTGATATTATATTTTTGGATTAAATTGACTATGAAAATGTCTAATTGTCTAACACATACAATTGTGTACAAGAGGGCAAAAGCCTAACACGCCCCACCTCAGGTGACCTTAAATCACACGCGCAATAATAAATTGGAGATATGCTTGGCTCCCGCCATTGCCCATAAGCCAGCCTCTTCCTTGATCTTCTGAAGGATATGCATTGGTGCGGATTCTCTATGCTCAAAGATTCTTGCATTTCTTTCATTCCACACCTCCCAACAAACAAGAATGATAATGGAGCGCAGCCCTCGCCTCGCCGTTGAAGATGTTCGATCTAGGTTTTTCCACCAAGTTTGTACAGTCTCCTAGCATCCAGGCGGAAGGTCGCAGGTGTTCGTTGCCTAGCCACATTGCAATGCTCTCCCAAATGTGCCTAGTGTAACGGCAGTCTTGAAACAGATGGACTCTAGATTCTTGACTGTGTCTGCAAAGAGGACACACACCATTATTTAGCCATACTCGCGCTTGTAGTCTATCGGAGGTCCAGATTCTGTTTTGGATGACGAGCCACCCAAAGAACTTGTATTTTGGTGGCGCCTAGATTTTCTAAATCAGTCGTTTAAAATTGGTCGTCATTGATCCAATGAATTGCGCGTGGTAGGCCGATCCTGTTGTGAATTTTCCTTGTGGCATGAAATTCCAAATGATGTTTTTCCTGTCCGATTGGAGCTGAAAGTGGTTTAGGGACAAATGCCTGATGGCTACATCTGCCATTTCTCGAAGCAGTGCAGCGTACGGCAGGCAGGCAGCACCAAAGTAAATCCATCGACAACGGGGGAAAAATGACAAGCTGTTCCGAAACAAAGCTAACAACCGGAAATGACTCTAAAAAAAAGACTCAAAACAACTAGAAATGCAAATATACAGCCCACTGCCTGTCTGCCCACTTGCATCCTTGGACTTGAAGGTGATAGCTTTAGCCGTTCGATATTCATTCCAGAACTTAGATTCACCAGATCAACATGCCATGAATTTCTGTGCCATAGCAGAGTACAAGAACAGACACATGACGTCTCAAAAGCACACTACTAAATAGGCGTCACGCACGAGCACGACACCATGAGTGTGCTCGCTGCAGCTACTTCTGCGGCTGCGAGGAAACTACTACTATGTACTGTAGCTGCACTAAGCCGCAGCCGCAGCCTAATAAGCTGCAGCGAGCCCATTTCACTTGCTATTCAGGTTTTTCAAATGATCAAACATCGATTTGCCATCAGAATGATAAAAAATTATATTCTCAAGTCAATTTGCTTCCGTTGATTACAGCTCAAAATCTAAAAATGTTGCTATCGAATCCACCCCCATAACAGAACATTGACCAAAATTGAGACTGGTCGGGGTGGAAATACATTTGTTAAGGGTCAAAAAACACCATAAACTCATGCTTTAATCTGCCAGTTATATTATCTTACAAAAGGAGAAAAAGAGGTATCTTCTACATTCTAGACAGAGAAGCCGTGGGGATGGTGGTGTGGTGCCTATAACATCAAGGATAACAACAAAAAGGATATTGTACATGCAACTTAGAACTTGTCATGTGGGGCCGGACATTCGCAAGGCAGCGCAGGGCGCGAGACATCCGTAGGGCAGCAGAGCGGGCTGCAGCGCGCGACGCGGCAAGGGCCGCGATCACCTCGGACGAGGATGGCAGGGCCGGGCCCAGTGGCTAGGAGAAAATTAGGCCTTAAAATTAGGATCGTTTGTTTCCCAGTTTGTTAGCCGGTTGGCTCATATATTCCCTGGACTCAAAACAATGAAGGCAAGCAATCAGTTATCATCTAATCTCCTACCTCTACTCTCGTTAAGCCACTAGCGAGGGGTATAACCTCGCGGTGAGGATGGAGCGCGACTACGAACCACGTAGTCGCGGGCCGCCGTCGTTGAGTGCCAAGGCGCTTGACAACCGGTATCTAGGTCTCGTCGATCCGCTCCCTCCTCCGGCCGTCGCCCGGCCGCCGCCGCCAACCACGAAGCCACACCACCATCCCGCCGCCGCATCTCCAACCTCGTCGTCTGCCGCTTCGCTCCGCCCAAGCGACATGGGGAGATGATCTCAAGGCGTCCATCAACGCACTCTCCAAGAACATGGGCGATGCACAAGTTGATCGAGGCCACGCGAAGGCGATCCATGATCTCTCCGTCACCGGATCCTTCACCGGATCCTCGGCATCCGGAGGGCGCGCCGAACGCGGCGAACACCACCAAGATCGCCGCCAAGCAGCTGGCGCCCGAAGTTTCGCAAGACTACGACGGCAAGAGTGACCGCCGATCTTCATCAACAAATGCGAGTCCTTCTTGCAGCAGCCGGATCATGCACGAGGAGCGCGTTTGGATGGCATCGTACAATCTCGGGAGGGAGCCAAACTGTGGTACATGCGCAGTCCAAGAGGACGAGGGCACGCCGACATGGCCGCGCTTCACGGAGCTCCTCAACCTACGCTCACGGGCCCCGCCTGCGGCGCGGCGCCTCTCTTCATTTGTCGGCCGCCGCGACGGGACGGTGACCGACTACCAGACCGCCAGAGCCTTTGCTTCGCGCCGGTCGCCTTGACGAGGCTGAAGGTTCAGCTCTTCCGCAGCGGGGGGGCTCTTGCCGCTTCGACCTCCAGTCCAGATGCAAAACCCAAGAAACCCTTACGCCGCCATGAGCCTTGCCCGTGATTCGAGCTCATGGAGCAAGACACCGCCGCTCCGGCCAAGGGCCTGGCGGCGTCCCGGGAGCACCGGATCGTGATCCGCCCTCCCGGCGCCCACGGCCGCCACCGATAAGGCTCAGGTGCCCGCGAACTAGGGAGACGGCCGGCCGGTGAAGCGCCTCTCCAAGGAGGAGCAGGAGGAGCGCCGCCGCTTGGGCCTATGCTACAACTGCAACGAAAAGTACACCAAGGGGCACAATCGCGTCTACCGGCGCATCTTCCACATCGGCGGTGTCGAGATCTCCGACACCGACGAAGCAGCCGCGACCGACGAGCAGGAGACGGAGTCGCCGATCTTCTCCCTGCACGCAGTGGCAGGAGTGCCGTTCGGCGGGACGTTGCAGATCTCATATATTCCCTGGACTCAAAACAATGAAGGCAAGCAATCAGTTATCATCTAATCTCCTACCTCTACTCTCGTTAAGCCACCAGCTAGAGGGGTATAACCTCGCGGTGAGGACTGGAGCGCGACTACGAACTACGTAGTCGCGGGCCGCCGTCGTTGAGTGCCAAGGCGCTTGACAGAACTCCTCGTCTCAATCTCAGCAAAGAAAACAAAACTGACCTCAAAAATTAAGCCGCGCGAGGAGTTGGGGAGTTGACCACCAAGGTCCAATTGACACCTAAATTGTCAGGGATAAGAAATTAGCAATAAAAATATATTAGTGGCAATCAGGCATAAGGAAATTAACAAGACAGGTACCAGGGCAATCAAGTTTTTCCACATGAAACTACAGAATCCCACACAGCGTAGTATATAGATCTGTACCTAAGTAGTTTCTGAAGAATTGCTGCATGAAAAACGTGAATATTTAACCTCAAAGTATGATCTCAGGCGTTTAATGAGATTTTCCCTCAGTGACTCCGGAATTTTTGAACTAAATATGCTTGCAGAATCTGATTTTAGCTGCTTTCTGCATTACATGAGAAAAGCACAGTGTAAGAACAGGAATCCATAAACATCTTGAGAATATTTAATCCAACAGACCTTTGGTATATAGAAAAAGAAGTACAGAATCTTAATCAACAAATTTCCTGTAACAAAAGTTAGATAATTTCCGCCGCTGTCTGAGCACATTACCTCATTGCATCAAAATCTTGAGGAATGTCTGAACTTTGAATTCGATGCCTCTTTTGCGAGCGCATAAAATTATAGACATCATCCATCCATACAGACAGCCGAAGCTCAGAATTAGCTGACTTAGCAAGCCTGGTTTTTTGGGGGTTTCAACAAAACATGCCATTAGCATTACAAAATTATTAGAAATGAGACAATGATCAACTCAGAAAAAAAGGAATAATATATTATGCATATACATCAAATGGAAGAAAAGAATAAGGTTCTAGAATGTGAAGGTAACTAGTGCAAAAATGGTAACAGTAATTTCATGCATGGGTCATTAAACAATGTCAAATGGATTAGATCTAGAGGTCTGAGGCAAGAACCTTCACGCGTGGTTGCTTAGGGATATTTGCAAAGTTTTCATTCAAAGCCCCATGCATGTATGTGAAATTGGCACCATTAGAGTTGCAAGGATAAACAGCATATCCAAATCAGTCTTAGATTTACTAGTTTAGAATACAAATTTTTATCTGTGCAAACCAAGGTAGTATGAATTATCTCATGTTAACATATTTCTAGTTCGCATTGTGCTATATGGCAAGTTGGATCATATAAAATGAATACATGACCAAACTTGGAAGGTGCTAATTTGCAAAAAGCAACTGAAAGGAATGGATGACACATATTTCATGGAAAGTGTTACATGTAGAATATATGGTGAAGGGTGTGACAGCAGCAGAGCCAGTATTGAGTTGGTGAGCAGCGCCGCAAGGAGATTAACCCTTCAATTCTTACTTTCCTCTAATAGTTACAACTCCTCCTATATTATTAGGTAGGATCCCATTCCTATGACATGACCCCCTGAGGTCTTGTTCGATTAATCCCCTCCCAAGGGGATTGGAGGGGATGAGGGGGATTTTGACTTGTTGGGCATTTAATCCCAATTCCCTTCAATCCCCAACAAACCAAACAAGGCCTAAGTATTGGATGACTCCGGGCTCTACATAGTCTAATTCTACCAAACATAATGGGCCAGTAACCACTGTCTAGAAGGGTGGACCGTTGCTACAGTACCCACGAGTGCTGTTTATATGGGTCTCAGTGTCCACAGGTAGCAGAAAGATATAAAAAAAAGTAAGAGAATATCAATTAGGGACTTACATTTCCTGAAACTTATCTTCTTCAAGTTGGCGTTTTTTTCCTGAAGAGTTTGCATGAGATGACCGGTCAGAATATTGTTCAGCATGTGAGGCCTTGCCATTGCTGGTCTCCTGTTGAGCAGGCGTGGCATTGCCATTACTGGTCTCTTGTTGAGTGGGCATGGCATTTCCATTACTGGTCTCTTGTTGAGAGGGCGTGGCATTGCCATTACTGGTCTCTTGTTGAGCGGGCATAGCATTGCCGTTACTGGTCTCACCAAGATACTGGGAATGATGAATTGGCTGGCCATTTCCATTTGCATCCTGCAGTATTATTTCTGATTGTTGGCCTCTCTCTCCACAAGAAATAGTATTATCAGCATTATTTTTACTGGGTCCCACAAATTGTCCAGTCTTGCAACCATTTGATTCTGATGATTTAGCAGTTTCATTAACCTCTGGATTAATTTTTGAAGTGAGGTTTACTTTGCCATTTGACATAACCTTTTCTGCTGCGCTATTCTTAAAGTGAATCGGCTTGATAAGTGGACCTGATGCAGTCTTGCCATTCTTCAAGGGCATCAGTACATTACCTTTGGTAGAACATATGCCATTCTGTTTTACCAAAGGTACCTTCGAGGTCTCACTAGATGAGGTGCTTGATATGCCAATTCCATTCGTGCTGAAAGGTTTAGCTGCAGTAGAAGAGTAACCATTTGTACTAGGCTTTTGAGTTTTCGAATTCAGTATATAAAATAGGATATAGACCTTCTCAGACAAACCATTCTGAGAGCTTGATAGGGAGACATGAGAATCGTTACAACAAAACCATTGACCACTAGCATCCTGCATATAATGCATGTTCCAAGTTATGTTCAGATATAGTACAAGAACAGGATTGAACGAATTTACATATTGATTGAATTACCTTAACATAGGCATAGTAGCGACCAGACTCTGGGGAGAGCCCTGAGTGGACGATACAACCAAAAAGATTATATACTGGTTGCGGATCCTGCAGCTCCATGCAAGCCAAGATATATTTCATATCAATCAAGGGGATAACTGATATAGTCTAATAAGATATGCGCGAGAAAATAAAAAAAAATGTTTTCAGTCAATAAGATTAGGAAAAGCATCATGCCTTCACTAAATGAAAATTTTTATTCCAGACAGAAGTGGCACACTATAACTAGAAAATTAGCAAAGATGATAGACAACAAAGGAAAATGATTTCACAGAGAAGCTTGAGTGATACAATCAAATACATAGAAAGAGAGTTTTAAGTGGATAAAATACTGCAAAGGAATCTCACAGTTCACATTGCCATTGCACCACTGCCATACTCTTGTACGCTTTTACCACACTATAAACAAAATGGTACCCGTAAAACCTACCTCCTAAAAGATTTCCTTGAAACTAAATGAAACACAAGTCTTTGTTTAGACTGACGTACTTTGGTGATAGTTTCATGTAGTAAAAATGGCCTTGCGTGGTTGAGTCTCAAGACTGGAGTACAAGCTATATTACTGACAGTTGCTACAGAAAGAAATTGTTACTGCATAACAGGGGACATTTTAAATCCAACATAGGATCGGCCAATCACACCATAGGAGAAGGAGCAGCGCATTAAATCAGCCAGGGAATTGAAGCGGCATGCACATCTGACCCGAGACAAAATTAGCCTCTGCAACCAAGCACGCTGATCATTTGAGCTAATACGTTTAACAAAGACGGACCGAAGGAATACTTTGCTAACACGTAATGATGTATACAATTAGCAAATTGAAGTTGTTACTTATTCTGACTGTTCATAGATGTTTTATGTAGAAAGCACAAAGTGAAAGCTTTCTAACTTTGACCAATGCTTTAAAAAAAAGAACTGTGTATTGGTAGTACCATTGGATTTGTGCATATTGGAAACCGTATTGATGTTCAAACATCATATATCTACAAACCGGAGGAGTTGGTAATATTAGTAGCAAACTGATTGCAAAAAAAGATGCTCGCAAATAGCTCAAAAACAAAAGTGATGATAGCGGCTTGTTATATCAAAACAGAGGACAGAGATTAGGGCCTGTTTGGTTCCCTTGCAAGCCCTTGTATCACCTTGTCCAGCAAAGACAAGAGTTCGGTAGGACTTCGGAGCTGGAAAGCCAGCTTTGCCCATCAAATTAGATCAACGTGGCAATGATATCTTTTCTCGTTCAGGAGAGCTATTTTAGTGCTAAAAAAGGTTTGTAACTCGAATTTCAGATGACTAGACCTCATATACGAGGACTAAATACAATTACAAATAAAGGCCTGACCTAAAAAGTAGTTAGCTCAACAAATTAACCAGAAGCTCCAATAGAAACCCTGGAAGTGATGTCACATATTATTAAATTATTAAGTTACCATAAACTAGTTCATATCCATTTAAGTTCATTGGTTAAATGGAATTTACGTTATTAAAGGACCATGATTTGATAGTTGCTGTGGTTACCTTAAAGAAGTTTGATCCACATAAAATTGGAAACAATGTCCTTAAACAAACTAGAAACTGATGGCAGTTAACATGTGGTTTCATATCAATGAGCAACCTACCACAGGTGAATAAATTGGTTTCACAGATAGCTTTGCGTACACAAAAGTTTGCATGCCTAAGAAAAACCCAAAGATTAAGCAATCAAAATTTGTTGTTTTACCTGGTTTTTATTGTACATGCAATCAGAAAGACCAAGTGCCTCTTTGAATTCTATATTCCTGTTGATCTTTCCACCATTTATCCCCTCAAACCTCTAATATCATCATACCAGAAAAAGAAAAACACAGGTCATCAGCAACAGCTCCTAGCCATGTCCAATAAATCAAGCACAAGTTTTGTCCAAATACAAAATAAGAAATGACCGAAGGTCAATAACCTTGAGTTGTATGACAAGCACCTTAGGTGCCCTCAGCATAAACATTTGCTTCCGTGCTGAGGTGAGCTTTTTACATCTGCCATTACCAAAATCATAAATAAAGCCTGTTTCAAACACAAGCATCGGGAATACAGGAGAACTTGGACGAGTGAAAAGAAGCACATGAAATTATCATCACATCATGAAAGGCGACATCGAGATAAGTTTTTCATATACTGTAAACAAATACAAATGTTTACATTGGCTGCTTTACATTTTGACAATTTCAATTCGGAAAGAGGATCGAAAGATCTTAGAGGGTGTTCTGACCAGTTTTGGAACACTCACGAGCTATGTTACACGGATACGTCCAGGAAGGCGCGTATCGCGTATCCGATACGTATCGGATACGGATACGTGTCCAATACGCCAAGGATACGTATCGTTGGAGTATCCGAATTTTAATAATTTTGCGAATATTGGATACGTGGGCTGATACGTATCGGCCTTATGGGATACGGCCCGGCCCAATAACAGAGTCACATATCCTCTGTCCCCGACGCCCTAGCCAGCGATGCCCGCACTCCTGCACGCCCGCGTCGCCGCGACTCGCGCTGCAACACCGCGCGGTGACGGCGCATCCCCCGCTCGCCGCTCTCCGGCCACCGGCGACGAGCCTCCGCCTCCGCCTCCGCCCGCCTCCGCCTCCGCCTCCGCTCGCCGGCGTCCCTACTCGCCGGCCGCCAGCGACGAGCCTCCGCCTCGTGCTCACCTCCCCTCCCGTCCGTCCCCACCCCACGCCGGTCGTGCCGCTTCCGCCAGCCCCTCTCCGCCGGTGCGGAGTGGACGGACGGACGGAGATCCGCGCGCCCGGTGCGGAGCGGACGGACGGACAAAGATCCGCGTGCCTGGTGCGGAGCGGACGGACGGAGATCCGCGCGCCTCCGGCTCTGCTGCGTCGTCGCTACGCCGGCTCAAGGTCAGTTCCCTCTCCTCCCCCACCGCGGCCCAACGACCCACCGCCGCCGCCGCCGCGTGGTCCGTTGCGTACTCGCTAGCTGCAGCTTGCTTCCCGGGGTTAGGTTTTTTTTTGAGATGGATTTGATGCGCTGCTAAATGTATGCAGTTCGTATTGATGAAGTTAGTCTTATTGATGAAGTGCAGTTCTTGTTGCTTTGCTTCATTGCTTGTATGCAGTATTAGTCTGTACTCTGTTACTCCTGTTAGTGAAATTGCTAGTGTATGCAGTTCGTATTGATGAAGTTAGTCTTATTGATGAAGTGCAGTTCGTATTGATGAAGTGTAGTTCTTGTTGCTTTGCTTGTATGCAGTAGAGAGTAGTGCAAGTGTTAGTGTAGGATTTGCAAGTGTTTCTGTGCAAATTCTGGACTTGGAGTCTTGGAGAACTCGAGAATGGACAATTGAAGATTTGAAGAATGGAGATGCTTCCGGAGTTCCGGTCTTTGCTTTGGCTGGTACTTGCTATTGCAAGGTAATTTACTACTTTCACTCTTTCACAATTTTAATATGCGCTATTATCTATATTTATTAAAAAAAACAGTAAAACGTATCCGCGTATCGGGTTTCTTAGGAAATTGCCGTATCTGCGTATCCGTATCCTTCCGATACCGATACGCGTATCCGTATCCGTGCAACTTAGCTCACGAGGGTCCATGGTTGGGGTCACACCAACTTTGTTCCATAATAAGCAGACATAAACTGGAGAGATTACCAGAGTTATCTTTGCCTTGGTGAAAATGACTACATAATAAATTTCACAAGAAAGGAATAGTAAGTTTTTCCTTCTCTAAAAAAGTAGCCAAGTAGGGTAACTTCAAGAGGTTCAAACTAACATTTACATTCCTATGGAAAGGCTAAGGAAACTGCACCATTTGCCTACAGGGACAATTAGATTGCAAAAGAAGGGGCTGGTGAAACTTCCTACATGATTTTGTTTCGACTGAAAATATTATGATCAGCCCTAAAGTGTCCTAAAAGGCCATCCCTAACAAGTAAACAGTTAAAATTCTAACAGTTGAAACCTTCCTCTGAGAACCATTTGTTCCTTTTTAGATAAAGAATAGCATACAGAACTGCTCCCAGGCAGATCGAGACTGATGTCCATTATCTCATCAGTCTTGTTAGACTCTCCCTTGCACACAAGGCACTTCACTTGACTCAGCAATGCCCCACCAAATGTCTCCCTCATAACCAGACACGCCCCCTGCCCCCGGCCATCCTCACCAAAGTTTCCATTGGCAACTGCTGCACGTAGCCGCTTGCGCATGCGGAGGCCAGCAGTGTGACAGGCATCTACCACATAGCGGAGGAACTCGTGCGCGTCCTCCTGGCGCCCCCACCTGCAGTGCTAGGCGAATAGGGGCATGCAGCGGATAACCTTTGCGGGGGAATCGAGCGCCCCTGCATCCGCCCGAAGCAGCCGGGCGATCTGCCGCTCAAGCACGCAGAACGCGCACTCCACCCTGTTCGGGAACACCTTCTTGCCTACAAGCAAACAAACTAACCCAAACATCAACCACTTGATGAGTTGCGAAAAAAAAAGAGCGCGCAAGGGGGTGAAGCGGGCGCTAGGGTTTCGTACACAGGTTGGAGTGGCGAGAGTCGAGGCAGAACGTGGCGAGGGGTGGCGTGGACGCAAGGCACTGGAGGACGCTGTTGAGGTAGCAGGTGTTGCCGAGGTTCTTCAGCCCCGGGGGTGGGCCCGTGCGGGGGCGCCGCTGCGGCGGCGGCGAAGATGGCTCCGCGGTCGGGGCCATCACCGGCTCCGAGGGGCGGATGCGGCGGGGACAGCACCGCCGCGGGAAAGCACAAGGCCCCCCTCCTCCTCCTCTCCACGAAGCACCGCCGCCGCCGCCGCCGCCGCCGCCGCCAACTCATCCGATCGCATCGCCCACCTGTGGGCGCCTGTCAGCAGTAGAAGGAAATTGGGTAAAGGATCAGACGAACAGCACAGCAATCTGGCGAGAAGGAAAGCCAGGAATGATGAATGCTGGAGGGTTTAGAGGCTGGTTACAAAATTCTTCATAATCCTTCCCTTTTTCTGGTAGCGTCTATTTACAAGGCTATCGTTCGACGGTGTTCACAGCCACACTCACAACCATTCAGCGCCAGCTAGACGCACGTTGCGTCGGCGAGCGCGTGTTCCAGTCCGAGGCACTAGGGCCGCTTCTTCTGAAGTAGCTGCCGTAGATGGGCCGCTAACACCCCCGGTCCTTGGAAGGCTGCTTGTCCTCAAGTAGGAGCTCTGGGAAAGGTTTGATGCAGCTATAACAAATTCTCCCAGGTTGCCATGTCAGACGGCCAGCCAGACCAGAGGACGAGGCCTTTCTCCACCAAACCATTAGCAGTAGGCATGACACGACGCTGCAAAATTTCCATAGGAACCCAAGGCAACTCAATGTCAGCTGGTAAGGAGGAAGATACCTGGACCTGAGGAAGAACCGTAGCTTTCAATTGAGAAACATGAAACACCGGGTGGATAGCAGCTGAACTGGGCAAAAGCAACTTATATGCCACCTGACCGATGCGCTCCATGATCTGGAATGGACCATAGAACTTGAAGGACAACTTCTGATTAGATCGAGGGGCTAGAGAAGACTGAACATAAGGTTGCAGCTTAACAAACACCATATCACCAACACTGAATTAACGTTCAGAGCGTTTCTTGTCAGCTTGACGTTTCATATGTTGTTTGGCTCGAGCTAAGTGCTGACGGATCAAATCAGTCATAACTTAACGATCTTGAAGCCAAGAAGACAGTTCAGGTACAGCCACATCATCCAGGACAGAGATTCCAAAATGACGAGGTGGATAGCCATAAAGAGCTTCAAAAGGAGAACATCCAAGTACAGAATGAGGGGAAGCATTGTACCAGAATTCCGCCAAAGCAATCCAAGAAGACCATTTGGCCGGGCATGCATTGACAAAACAGCGTAAGAACGTCTCCATGGTCTGATTGAGGCGCTCAGTCTGACCATCAGACCGCGGGTGATAACTGGAACTCATCTGCAAAGAGACATCGACCAAACGAAATAGCTCACGCCAAAATTGACTGGTAAAAATACGATCCCGATCAGAGATAATGGCAGTTGGCAGACCATGCAAGCGATAAACATTGTTGAGAAATAGCTTAGCCACCACAGCAGCTGTAAACGATGGAGCAAGGGCAGGAAATGGCCATACTTAGTGAAGGAATCTACCTCAACGAGAATACAGTTAACGTTACCTGAGCGGGGCAGCCCCTCAATGAAATCCAGAGATATAGTGTGCTAAGCAGCGACAGGTACTGGCAGAGGTTGAAGAAGACCAGGCAAACGACTTTGATCGGGCTTAGCCTGTTGGCAAGTAAGACAAGCTTGAACGAAGTCTCAGGTAGCAGATTTCATGCCACGCCACTGGAATAGCTGCTTCAACCGAGTATATGTTGCCGGAAATCCAGAGTGACCCCCCCAAAGCGCTGACATGGATGGCATGGAGAATTCACTGCTGTAGTACCTTGTTGTCCCCAATCCAAATACGTGTTCCCTGACGAAGAACACCATCTCGTAGAGAAAATCCTGGCACGGCTGCAGAATCAATAGTGAGTTTGGCTATCATCTCTGATGACATAGGATCAGCTGCATACCCTAACACCACCTCTTGTATCCAAGTAGGGGCAACCACAGAAATAGCAGCACATGATGAATCATGGAAACTCTTGCGAGACAAAGCATCAGCTACGTGGTTTGCAGCACCCGGCTTGTATACAATGCGAAATTGGAGACCAACGAGCTTAGAAAAGAGCTTCTGCTGCCACGACGTATGCAAACGCTGGTCAGTAAGTTGGACAAGGCTCTGTTGATCGGTAAAAATGGTGAATTCAGCATGTTGTAGATAAAAACGCCACTGCTGAACGGCCATCAAAACTGCCATGTATTCCTTCTCATAAGTACTCAGGCCACGAGAACGGGTCCCAATGCTTTGCTGAGAAACGCCAAGGGATGACCCTCCTGAGTAAGAACAACACCAATACCACTGGCACTAGCATCCGTCTCAATGCTAAATGGCTTGGAAAAGTCAGGAAAAGCAAGAACTGGCGAAGAACTCAGGGCTTGCTTTAGAGCTTGGAATGATTGATCGTGTGAAGAAGTCCAGATGAACAAGGTGTTCTTTTTAAGCAGCTCAGTCAACGGTTTTGCAATGACACTAAAATTGCGGACAAATTTTCTGTAATACCCGGCTAAACCCAAAAAAACTACGCAAATCTTTAACTGACTGGGGAGTACGCCAATTGATCACAGCCGCTACCTTCTCAGGATCAGTGGTAACCCTGCTGGAGTAATGACATGGCCGAGATATGCAATACTCTACTTGGCGAACTCACATTTAGCAAGTTTGATCTTCTAGTCATGAGCTTGAAGCTGCTGAAAGACCAACTGCAGGTGGTCAAGATGTTCCTCATAGGATGGACTGAAGATCAAGATATCATCGAAGAAAACCAAGACAAATTTCTGAAGAAAAGGAGCTAGAGTTGAATTCATGGCATCTTGAAATGTTCCAGGTGCTCCCGTAAGGCCAAATGGCATGACTCTAAACTCAAACTGTCCAAAATAAGTTTGAAATGCGGTTTTGAATTCTTCACCGGGCTTCAACCGAATCTGGTGGAAACCCAAGCGCAAATCGAGTTTAGAAAACCAAGAAGCTCCAGCCAACTCATCTAGAAGCTCATTAATTATGGGTACTAGATATTTGCCTTTGACTGTGATAGCATTCAATTGCCGGTAATCGACACAGAACCTCTAGGTATTGTCCTTTTTTCTGACCAACAGTACAGCCGAAGAGAATGGGCTGGTACTCTTTTGAATAATACCTGAGGCCAACATGTCCTTGACTTGTTTTTCCACCTCATCCTTGATAGCTGGGGAGAAACGGTAAGGACGAGAATAGATCGGAGCTGCACCAGGAACTAGGGGAATTGAATGATCACAGTTGCGAGAAGGAGGCAACTGATTTGGCAGATCAAACAACCCCGAGAAATCTTGTATCAGTTGCTGAACTTCGACAAGATAAGTAGGAGGATCAGAAGGCTGCTAATGATCAAGAGAACATAGCTGTAAAACTGCTCCAGCTGTCAGATCCGACAGAATACCCACTAACTGAACAGTAGTGCCCTGATGTTGGAGCTGAATCCACTTCTGACCCCAATGGTCTGCCATCGGACTATGGGCTTCTAGCCAATCCAAACCTAAGATCATATCATAAGAGGACAATGGAAGAACCTTCAAATCTGAAGAAAACTGATCTCGGGGAGGGAGGAGTAGGGAATGGTGGCATACCCTTGACCGGGGAATGAATCAGGGTAGAAACTACCCCAAATCCACTCTCCCGGTGGTGATTGTCGACGCAGTGCCCATTGGGTAGATTTGCTGGAGAGTTGACGAATGGACGCTCGATAGCTGACGGAATGGTGGCGAAGACGCCCGGCGTGGTAGCCGGTTGCTCCAGGATCGCCCGCTCCCAGTTGCAAGAGATCTTCGACACCTCCAACTTGGACTTCGAGATGTCGAGCTTCATGTCATCAACGATGCCTTCAATCGACGGCCGCCACTCATTGAGCAACGCGGTGACCTTCTCCAGAGCCGCCATGCGCCCCTCCTGCGCCTGCTCGAAGTCCCGGATCTGGTGAGAGAGGCGCGCCTCCTGATCCACAAAACGCGAATCCCACTTTTGGTCATGCTTGTTGAATCGCCGGCTGATCTCTTCGAGGATGATTTTGGTCTCCGGGTTCATGATTCCTAGTCGGTGCTGTCGTCGGGTGAAGTGGTCGTGGGCTAAAGGTTGGGGACGATCCAGATCTACCGCAACCACAAGTCGATTCAAGCGGAGAAGGGAATTACGGCGACCAAATCCCTAGCAGCAGCTCACTGCTAGAAATGAGATCGAGCCAACCGGATCACTTGCTCAAATCAACCGATGGAGTAAAAGCGGATCGATGTGGAAACCCAAAATCGGTGTCTCTGATACCAATTGTCAGCAGTAGGCAGGAAATAGAAGCAAATTGGGTAAAGGATCGGACGAACAGCACAGCAATCAGGCGAGAAGGAAAGGCAGGAAGGATGAGTGCTTGAGAGTTTAGAGTCTAGTTACAAAATTCTTCATAATCCCCCCTCTCTCTGGTAGCGTCTATTTACAAGGCTTTCGCCCGACGGTGCTCGCAGGCACACTCACAACCATTCAGCGCCAGCTAGACGCACGTTGGGCCGGCGAGCGCGTGTTCCAGTCCGAGGCACTTGGGCCGCTTCTTCTGAAGTAGCTGCCGTAGATGGGCCGCTAACAGCGCCGCGGAGGAACGGCCACCGTGGAGAAGTTTGGCGCTCCCGGCGCGAGCGCGGGGATTGGCGCCGCTGGCAACGCGAGGTAAGAGCGATGGGGAAGGCTCATGCCCTCAAATCGAGCAATAGGACGGCGACGGGGTGATGAGAGAGGAGGGAGGGAAGCGAGGGGTCTGATTTTTCCTCCCTTCGGGGTCAGAACTCGAGCTCGGAAGAGAGGGGAGTGAAGAGTTGGGGCTGTTTGAGCTTCGGCTGGTGCGTTGGGTAGACCGGGTCTAGAACACTTTGTTTGGTAAGAAAAGGTTTAGCTCTTCTGCTAGCTTGTGCAGCTGTGCTTGGCCGTTTTTCTTTCTTTTTCTTCCTTTTTTGCCGTGCTAGTTTGCTATGATGCTAAACACAATTACACAGAAAAAATGCATAGACACAGTTATATAGAAAAATCATAT